CATCGTCCCGTTCAACGGTTGCATGATATTATTAAAGTACGTCCGATACATGGGGTTCTGCTGCGCTCTTTGCAAGGCCGCAGGGTCCTGATACTGCGTCTGCGCCATCATCTGCATGGGAATCTGATTGAAGCCGGCCGTGTTGGTGATGTAGCCTGTTACGGCCCCCGGGGATTGCTGTGTGGCCATCGGGTAGCCGTTCATGTTGTATGTTTGCATGTGTTGCATGGCGGCGACGTTGGTGGCGTTCCTGCCGGGCCGGGTCAGGTTTTGGCCGATAGGGGGCGTTACGGCACCGCTGAGTTGGTTCACGTTCATGTTCGTCTGGTAGTACTTGTGGTAGCCCAACACCTGGCAATAGAAATGATTCAGTGATGGACAACAGTGTAGAACCAAGTGAATAGATAGATAGATAATCTTTATTTGTTCTTTGAAATCGAAGCCTAAAAATAGGCGTGGAACTTGTCAATACATAATATACAGGGTGTCTGTAAAAGGTTGGGACATGGCTCGTCTGTGGACTCCTGGGATAAAAACAAGTTGATTTTGGCCAACTTACCCATATCCAAAATCGTCTCGTTGAGTTGGTACAAGGCGTTGAAGTTTTTTTGGGAAAAAATAATTTTGCTCATAAAAATAGTAGGCTGAGATCGATTTTCATAATGTTGAGCATGGCATGTTCTGTGACTGTAAATCACGTTTTGAGATGTTTTTGATCATCATCAGGGATCTGCAAGTGTTTCAAACAACCATGTTGCCGTACAAATTTGGTGATAACTTTTCAGAGGTCGGACTGGTAACTTCCAGTATTTTTTTCCAGAAAGATATTCCCTTCAGAAATATTTTTCGTATCGTGTTAATTTTTGATAAGTCTCGAGGTTCATTTGCAAATAAATAATTTCTGATCTGAGGCCTCTTATACATTTTTCAGAAAAATAATCTGGTTGGGACATGGTTTGACTGTAGACTCCTGGGATAAAAATAAGTTGATTTTAGCCAACTTACCTATATTCAAAATCGTTTCGTTGAGTTGGTACAAGGCGTTAAAGTGCTCACCTTAGGTCCTGAATAGTTATCGCTAAATTTTTAACGCGAGATTTCTTGTAAAGCCCGCGAGGACCAGCAACATATCAGTTTTTTACAATAAGAATACAGTGTAGCCATGATCAATGAACAGTATGATTAATTAAATTAATTTTCAAAAATGCGCAGGATGCATCATATCAGGAATTATTTATTTGCAAATGAACCTCGAGACTTATCAATGTTGAGAGATGCAGGTTTACAGAATTCCTTTTGGGGGGAACCTGTACAGCCTGCTGCATATATTTTAAATAGAAGTCCATGCACTGGATGGTGAATTAACACCAGCTGAACTTTGGTATAACAAAAAACCAAATGTTAGTAACTTGCGAGTTTTTGGCTGTACTGCATACTATCACATACCAAAAAAAAAAGAGGGAAGTTTGATCAGAAGGCAGCAAAATCCATCATGATTGGGTACGTTGAATATGGGTAAAAACTATGGGATTTTAATGAACAAAAAATGATAGTTGCAAGGGATGTGAGGTTTGATGAAAATGATCATCATTTTAAAAGAAATAATGTAGAAATTGATATTATATGAAAATGATACAGAAATTCAAATGATGAAGGAGAATAAATTGGAAGAAAATAGTGAAAATATAGAAAATAGGGAAGTAAATAATGAAACTATAAAAAATAGGGAAGAAAGCAATGAAATAGAAATAAGAGACAGAAGACGTAGGGATATAAAAGTACCAGATTGGTTTTAAGATTACCAGTTGTATATGGCATATAATGCTGTGAATTATATTGAAGATACACTTACTGATTTTGAAGAAATTAAACATAATAAAGATAAAGATTTTTGGTTATCCGCTGTGGAGAGCTAGATTCAAGTCATAGGAATGAAACGTGGAAAATTGTTGAGGATATGGGGATTAGTGATATTCTTGATACAAAATGGGTATTTTCAAAGAAACCATTGGAAGAAAAAGAAATTGGTAAATTCAAGGCTCAAATAGTAGCAAGAGGATTTGCACAGAAAAATGTGGAATATGATAGCATTCATTCACCAGTAGCAAAGATGTCAACTATAAGAATTCTATTGACTTTAGGTAACCAGTTATCATACTACTTTTTGCAACCAGATGTGAAATGTGCATTTTTAAATGGAATATTGAAGTCACCTGTTTATATAAATTTCCCAAAAGGAATGAAAGCATATCCAGGAAAAATATTGAAATTGAAGAAATCCCTTTATGGTTTAACATAGGATTTGAAAGATCTGAAAATGATTTTTGTTTGTACTAAATGGATTCAAATGCAGGTAGAGTGTATCTCTTACTCTATGTGGATGATATCATATTGTCAGGACCAAAGTTGGATTATCTGAATACAATTATTTCAAAACTAATGTATCGTTTTGAGATGAAGAACAAAGGGCATTTGGGACATTTTCTTGTTTTGGAAATTGAGTATAGTAGAGAAAAAGGAATATTGAAAATATTACAAACTAATTATATAAATACAATATTGTGTAAATTTGGCATGGAGAATTGTAAGGAAGTGAACACACCAATAGAACAAAAATTGAAATTAAATAATATACAGATAATTTACAGGATAGGAAATCAGTGACTGGATTCATTTTCAAAATATTTGATAATACAATACATTGGGTAACAAAAAAACAAAATTGTGTCACACTCTCAACCACAGAGGCTGAGTTAGTAGCTCTTAGCAGTTCGGTTAGTGAAGGTCTCTGGTTTTAAAAAGATTTTACTTGATTTCAAATTCCATACAGGGAAAATAGTATTTTTTGAAGACAATCAGGATTGTATAGCTCTAGTGAACAATCCAGGAAATAATAGAAGGGTAAAACATGTAGATATTAAGTATTGTTTCATATATGATAATATAGAAAAAGGATATGTAGATGTTAGATGTATATACAGTCAAAATATCAAACAGGCTGATATTTTAACTAAGGGACTGTCCTATGATTTATTCGAACATTTCAAGTTTCTTATTGGTGTAAGGGATTTTAGCGAGGGGGGCTGTTAGATATACCCTAAAATCCTACCTAAAGTGTGGCCACACTGATGAGATGTCAGCTGTCTTAAGTCTATGTCGTTAGCTTCTTGTGTGTCTGTTCTTGATGGATACAGAAAGTTGTGGTTGTATGATAGATCTAATGATGAGAGTTATGAATAGAAAGTATAGAAAGGAATGATGTATTTTTAATGGTTCTACTGGAGTAAATGAATGAAACTACGAATAAACCTGGATTTATTAATGAAAAACCTAGAAGTCAATTCAATTTTAGAAAGCGTAAATTCAATTTCAGAAACCGGCAATTGTGTTTCAAAAAAGTCACTTGTATTTCAGAAAACATCAATTGTATTTCAGAATAGTCAATTGAATTTCAGAGAGCGTCAATTGTATATCAGAATAGTCAATTTAATTTCAGAAAGCGTCATTGTCTTTCGGAAAGTGTCAATTGTGTTTCAGAAAGTGTCATTTGAAGTTTAATTGTTATTTTCTGAATACAATTGGCACTTTCTGAAATTCAATATACTATTCTGAATTACAATTGACGCAATCTGAAATTGAATTGACTATTCTGAAATACAATATTGACGCTTTCTGAAATACAAGTATCAATTCTGAAATACAATTGACGCTCTCTGAAATATAACTGGAAAAGGTGTAGATAAGCGAGTAACAAAACTTTCTCACAAGAAATACACCACCGTTGAAAGAAAAACACACCACCTTCAGGGAAAAAACACACTCACCTGTTGCTGCAGATTCGCAGGAACCACCGTAGGCGGCGTCAAATTCCTCCCTCCGCCCTGATTCTGCATCATCTGATGCGTAGTGGGCGAGGGCGTGGCATGCGGGGGCGGAGTTAACGTCATCCCCGAGGGGGAGGGGCTCATCGCGTTGCACCCCTCCAGGCCATTGGTCAGCTGCTGCAGCTTGGCCAGGCTGCAGCTCGCGTTGCCTTGTCCGCCCCGCTGATTGGGCGAAGGCGTGGAGGCGGGGCCTGGGGCATGCGCGTGCGCGTTGGTCTGTATGTAGAAGTTGGCGCTCGGGCTGACCGCCATCTTTTGCTGGGCATTGGAAGGGCTGACGCTCTGCTGGCCGCCCATACCGTGCTGAATGACGGTGGTCATCGGCGAGACATTGACGCACGAGCTGGTAGATTGCGAGGGAAACGCCTGCGTACTAACGGCCAGAGGGATATAGTTCGCCTGACTTATCACGGGATGGTGATGCGGGTGGTGCGGATGCTGGTACTGGTAACTCTGGTGCACCACCTGGTGGTGCAGGTGCTGCGAGTTGTGCTGCTGCTGCTGTTGCTGTTGCATGTGCTGCATTTGCTGTTGGGCGGCGCAAGGAGGCGTAGCCCGCTGCTGCACTACCTGTTGCGCCACCTGTTGCGCCACGGCAGTGGGCGGAGTTGAACGATGCATGTTATGCGTTTTATTAGAAGGCGTGTTCGATCGGTTCCTTTGCGACTGCGCTTGGCGTTTGTGGGTGATTTGCATGGCCTGGTTGGTTTGTTGCATGTTGTGCTGCACAGAGCAGTCGTAGTTGGTTTGGGGCGTAGTTTGCGAGGGCGGGGAAACGGAGGCGGGGGAGGAGTCGAGCGTTAGAGGGGCGGGATCCATTTCGCATTGGGCGTAGTGCATACCGAGCACGGGATTGGTCGCGGAGTCGGGCGGGTACACGCCCATCGACGGTAGGTCGTTTTGTTTGACAGGGTGTTGCATCTGCTGCTGGTGCGAATCGTGTTTTTGCTCCATTTCGGATTTGTTCTTGGCCTTCTCCATATTCGAGTTAGTTGGATTGGGGTCGGTTTTAGGCATGTTGTATGAGCAGCTAGCGGGTTTCGGTAAGTCGTTACTCATTTTCATCGAACTATAAGCATCTTGTTCAGGTTTTTGCTTGTTTCTCTCTTCTTTTCTGGGAGAGGGGTGTTTTTCCCTCGAGGGGTCTCTGGCTCTCGAGCTGCTGCTTTGACTCGAATGTTTGTGCGATTTGGTGACGTGTTTCTCCTTTTCGCAACTAGGCTGTTTGGGTAGCATGTCCAAAGGAGCGAACTGGGGGATCATGTGGTAACCTTGGAAATCCCTTTTGTTGTCATAGTAGATACTTTTGCCCCAGGTGAGCCTGTCCCATTGCCAAGGCAGTTGCGCTTGCGTCATGTGATGGTAGTTTTGAGTGGCTATGGCGTTGGCGAGCAGACTTTCGCTGTCCATGTGCATTTTTTGTATGTCGTAGGTGGGTTTTTCTTCGTGGGGGATTTTTTGGTGGTAACGTTTCTCCTCGTACTTTTCCGGTTTAGATCTGCTCTCCGATCTGATTGTCTCTTGTTTCGCAGCTGCTTTCTGTTCCTCCTTTAACCTCACTTCCTTCGGGTTCATTTGAGTGGGCTGTTTCAGTTCTTTAGGAGAAGACTTTTCAGGGATGGCATTTCCTTGTTGAGGCATTGCAGAAGCATGTTTTGTACTTTGCAAATGTTGCTCTGGCTGTACGTAAATCGACTGATTTCCTTGACTCTGATGGCAAACCGGGATGGTATTCTGTTGCTGAGGCAATGGTTGTTGGACTTGGTTTGGATGTGATTGAATGGGATTCTGTTGCGATGAAGGTTGTTGAGCTGGTAACCGAGGCAATGTTCTTTCCATGACCTGTTTTTTGATCACTGATTGTTCGTTATACTGATTGCCCATCATTGAATGTTGACTTGTTGTGATGAGTTTTTCGCTGACAAATTCAGAGGGCACGATATTGTGATTGCTGTTGTGGATCACGCGTGTTTCAGTTTGCGGTTCACTAGTCGAGACTTTTTTGAATTCTTGCACATCCGGCTTGGTATCATGCCCAATATGTGCCATCTCTTTCTGCGAGTAGTTTTGTTCCAGTTTTTCCACGAATTTCTCAGCCACAATTTCTTGTATCGTTTCTTCTCTTCTTTGGATTGAGGTTGCGACTTCTGCGGTTCTTTGGCTTGAAGTTGCGACTTCTGCGATTCTTTGGCTTGAAGTTGCGACTTCTGCGGTTCTTTGGCTTGAAGTTGCGACGTCTGCAGTGTGAATTTGATTGATTGCTTGGTTTGAAGTCGTCGGTATTTCTACCGGGTGGCTGATTACTAAAGGCGTTTCGTGAACCTCCTTCTTAACGCCGATTTTTTCCGATAGCGGTATAATTATATTTTCGATTGGCGCATCCACCTTATTTATGTCATCGAATGGTACAGGCTCCTTATCACTTTCTGGCACAAGTACAATATTAGGATCTAGTGCAGTTTTCTTCTCTTCTTGCGGTTCATAAGTATTGCCGTCGACAGCTTCACATTTTCGAGGAACTATTTGCTCAGTATCCTGTTTATTCTCCATCAGAGGTACACTTTCCTCCACTTTTTTCACTTCATCAACATGTTGCACTTTCACAACCTGTTGAATTTTCTCGACCTGTTGTACTTTCTCGACCTGTTGCACTTTTTCGACCTGTTGCACTTTTTCGACCTGTTGCACTCTTTCGACCTGTTGCACGTTTTCGACCTGTTGCACTCTTTCAACCTGCTGCACTCTTTCAACCTGTTGCACTTCATTAACCTGTTTAACTTCTTCAACCTGTTGCACTCTTTCAACCTGCTGCACTCTTTCAACCTGTTGCACTTCGTTAACCTGTTGAACTTCTTCAACCTGTTGCATTTCTTTGACCGGCGATTTTCGGTCGGGCGTTATGATGGTGTTCGTTTCATTATGTTCCATTTTCTCGATTTCCATATCGGTGGACTTCCTTCCTGATTCCACTGACGAATTTCCAGCATCCAACGATATATCCTCAACGATTTCCTTCTCAATTTCCAGGGCGCTAGAGGGAGCTACCTGTTGTTCGCTTTCGATAATTTTCGGCTCTTCTTTGACGGGTAGAGAAATCGTTTCTGCCTGTTTCATGCGCGCCATCGTCAGATTGTTCTCGTAGACTTCCCTTCGAGAAATGGTTTTGATCTTTTGACCGTCGATTTCCATCTCGGATTCGGAAGTTGTCGTATACAACGGCGAGTTGAGTTTTTCTTTCGGCGAAATAGTTTTGAGTTCTTCGCTGATTTTGGGTGGCGTTTTCTGAACGTGTGCCGCAGCGTTGTTTTTATCTTTCGTAGGGGTGGTTTTGGTGAATTTGTATTTGCTGTTGGGGGAAATTTCTTTTTGCACTGGTAGCTCGTCGTTTTCCATTTCGTCATCGGCTTCAGCGCTGGAATCTTCCTCGGTGGATATTCTCGAGGCTCTCCTGATTTTTTCTTCTTTTCTATTTTTGACCCTCTCCTTTTCCGGGGACTGGGGTGTATTCGTGTTCGGGACTTCTTTTTCCATAGTTTCCATGTCTGACTTATCGGAAATCACTGATTCGCTCTCGCTATCCTTCCGAAGCATATTCTTGATGAGATCAGGCAAAATCAATTGTTTTTTGTCTGAGAGTTTTCCTCGAGCTCTACCCTTCACCCAGCCTCGTTTTTTCTTGACTGTTCTCACACGTTTCTGAGCCTGCTGAGGTGCGACTGGGGTGACATCAATGGATTCTTCTGCGGGTTCCTTGTTCTCCTTAACTTCGACTGGTTTTTCCAGTTTTGGAGGTTCTTCCAAAGCAACAGTCTCTTCGGTTTTGGGTATGTCTGAGTCTTTAGCTTCTTTTTCTTTCTCCTCCAATTCTCGTTGTTTCTTGACCCGTCTCTGAGACCATCGTTCACCTACGACTTTTTCTTTCGTAGCAGCAAGTCTCTTTGGTCTATTGTTGGAATTTGGTGTGGTCAACTTGGAGAGCTCGTCAACCTGAAAATATAATACGAAAATATAAATGGCTGATTCCAAATCAATAAATTTTTAGAAATACCATCAAAATTGGAGACCACATTGTGAATATAGTTGAGTTAGTTTAGTGAGGAGTCGTTAGCTGATTTTACCTGTATAATATATATAAGCAAATAGCTGTTACTTTGGTCACAAAAGTCTTCTCAATCATGCTTGATGTACAGGGTGATTCACCATAAATGTCCCCCCCTCTAGCTCACTAATTTTTGAACCGATTTAAAAATTTGAAAAATAATCTGAAATGATTTTTCAGAATTTTTTTTCCCGTTGCATCAGAAAATACAGGGTGCTCGAAACAAACAATCTACAGAGTACTACTTGATTTTTTCAAATGGAACACCCTGTATATCATTGTATTTTTGGATTTTTCCTGAAGAGCTGATTCCATCGATATATCACACTTGGGGTCTAGCGGGAATGATTACAGAAATATAGGGTGTTCAAAATCTAGGTTTTTCAACTTTAAGATTTTTTTGTGTCGAAACTATTCATTATTAGTCAAAACGGCTTCCATGTCCCTATCTCAACTTTTGATTTACTATCTACTGACATTTAATTGAAACATTTACAGGGTGGTTCAAGATCATAATTCTGATCACCCTGTATCTGTTCCAATCATTAAATGTCAGTAGATAGTAAATTCAAACTTCAAGATACGAACATGAAAGCCGTTTTGACCGATAATGAATAGTTTCGTCACAAAAAAATTCTAAAGTTGAAAAATCTCGATTTTGAACACCCTATATCTCTGTAATCATTCTTGCTAGACCCCAAGTGTGATACATTGATCAAATCAGCTCTTCAGGGAGAATCTAAAAATACAATGAAAAATAGGGTGTTCCATTAAAAAAAAATCAAATAGTACTCTGTAGATCATTTGTTCCGAGCACCCTGTATTTTTTGATGTAGCGGAAAAAAACTTTATCAAAAATCATTTGAGATGATATTTTGAATTTTGAAATCTGTACAAAAATAACTGAGCTAGAGGGGGGGACATTTATGGTGAATCACCCTGTACATACATAACAGCGTTTATTGTGGAATTGCCATTTGTGGTTAGGCAAATTGTTAGAAAGTGAAGATCATTGGATAATTCCTAATACCTCAGCAAATTTCAACTATAGTCTTAAAGAATCCCGAAATTAGTTCACTGCAGATGAGCTTATATTAAAAAGCACTATATTTTGCGCATTCTTCTTCCTCATTCCTATATTTTCCCGAATTCTTCCTCAATCCCTGTTTTCTTTTTTTTTTTCTCTTCCCAAGCTGCTTTTTTCTAACATTTTATTATACTTGCCACATTGAGATATTTTGTCGATTTTTGTTTCTTTGAACCCCGTAAAATAATGTTGATTCTTGAAAATCCTCAATGTTTTTTTTTATAATACTTTTCATGTACTTTGCTCATAATTTATTAAGGGAAGAAGATAGGGGATTCTTCCTTCCGCCAAATCAATTCATTCAGCTCTTATCAAATATTTTGCACCAAATACATTGTTTCATTCACTTGTATCTGTAGCTACACGTGCACACAGCTAATAGACTGGCGGGTAATGACAACGTGCAACGTTCATTCAATGAATGCATTTTACAAGTCATGATTTTAATGGGTTTTCAACATGTCCTAGAAAAGTATCTAATTGTGCTCGCATGCAGTGGCGTCACCAATCAAATTTGAATTTTCATTGAAAATTGCTGATTTCGAAAGCAAAGTAGTTTATCGTGATATAAGTAACCAATTTGCTTGCATTTACTAATCGTTCAAAATCATCAATTTTCAAGGAAAATTCAAATTTCATTGGTGACGCCGCTGCATGCGAGCAAAATTAAATAATTGTCTAGGACATGTTGAAAACTCATGATAATCATGTCTTTAAAGATGCATATATTAAAAAAAGGTTGCACAAAATCCAGTCTATCAGTTAACTTCACTTTTCAAATATGCCAGAATAGAGGGTGCTTAAAATAAAGGTAGGTAGAACAATGCAAAATAAGTTGGGTTTTGTTCAGTAGAAAATGTTCTTAATGTCGCCCTTATTCGATTAGACAGTATAGACCCTTATGGAAAACAGTAGTTTCAGTCAGCACTTTTTGTCCTAAAAATCACAGTGCGCCTGTCCACTCGTGGCTAGTATGCGCAGTTGCTCAGCTAGCAGGTGTTTTGTTTAAGCCTATGCACAGTCAGAAACAGATCTGGTTGATGAAGGAATGTATTCACATTTTAGAGCATATGGAAATTTTGCTGAAGATACATATTAAAATTTAAATATACCTCAACAGGATTTCTTTTCATGCCTAGGAGTATGTGAAAATATATTTGGTCCAAATTTTCCTGATTTTTCAGTCCAGCCTAATATTGCTATCAGATTGAAGGAATAAATAACAAGTACAATTCTGCGAATGTGAATATCTGCCACTTTATCATTTCAACAGTTTGTTTATTCAAAGAAGGATTTTTTTATACTCTGGAGTTTAGGAACAGAGTTATCACAACCGGGAAGTAAAAACCAAAATTTGAAATTGAATGTTGTGCAACATTTATAATCTTCATCATTTCAGATTTAGTTATCATAATGGTCATATTCAATCAGATTATATTTTAACGACCCTCAGTATGTTTTTTCCGAAAAAATTATATTGAAATTGAAATCAGTATTTTTATGATCCAAATTTCAATTTTTTTACGAGTGGTAAGTGCGTAGATAGGCTATTTATTTGTTTGAGGTCGGACCTGTTCACATAAAATTCAGGGATTTCACAGCATTCCTCAGTGATGACGAGCGAGTTGTCATTGGCTTGTCATTGGCTCGACCAAGCCCGTAACGCGCAAGTCTGCGCGTGGTGGTATGCGCACTGGTCAGGCAAAAAATAAAACTTGTGGACACCAACATCAAATGTTCCGATAGAAGTGAAATTACTGTTTTCCGTGAGGGTCTATACTGTGTTAGAGGTGTTGTAAAAAACTGTTGCACACATTTTTCACCATCATGTCGAATCAACTGGCGAATTGTAATAAATATATGTATGAATGTTTCCAAAGAAGACACATTGCATGAATTTGTTTTTATATATGACACTCTGAAAAGCGCTAATTATACGGTTCACGGTTCGTATGGAACAGTTTTGAATATTGGCTTTTGAGGTTAGATTTTCTAGCCCATTTTTCATAACACCAAAAGAGTACTCTTGGTGAAACTTGATGCTGTGTAGATTTTTTCGGGACCTTTTTTAATTGTTTCTACCGTTTTTCCTTTTAAAGTGCTGAGAGATATAAAGTTTCAACCACGTTGTATGACACATTGATTTCTTCTTAATAATTGAAAAAAAGTGACCTTCAGAGTGTCCTGAACTAAATATGATATACACGTCGGCCACATTTGAAGAATTATGCAATTGGATTGAAAAAATTAAAATTAGTATGTTGTTATAATCGATCATTTCTAATCTACCTAACCTAATTATTTTCAGAAAAATCGAAGAATTTCGAAAACTATGATAGATAGACATAAATTAGGCTAAACTCAGAATTAGAAGGCCCATCAAAACGAGTGAAAAAAAATTAAAATAATAAAGTTGGTGCTTACTTTTGGCACACCCTGTATTCCCAGGTATACAAATATTTCCGATATATTGGAAATTATCCATTAGAATAGAATACCAATTTTCAAGTTCTTAATCCTACTGCAAGTTAGAAAACTCTCAATATGTACAGAAATCACACTGTATGATAATGGGCTTATATCACAAAAATTTTGTATTTCATAATTCGATAGAACTCACCCAAACTAGCTCACCACCGCAAACCGTTTCTTGCTGTGAGCTCCCTACGTTTTATAAAAAATTATTGAAATCCCCGATTTTTCGGACCTCTGAAAACGAGGCGATGATGTGACGTCAAAACCCTAATACTGAAACAAGACTATTCCAGGCAGAGATGAATGATACATGATTTCTGACAAAGCACCAAGATTGGTGAATCGGCAAGTTGATTCTTGGGACAAAGATAATAAGAACAAGAAGAAGATCAATTCTAACCTATATTAACTTTTGCAAATCGCGAAACTTTCGAATATTGAATTGAAATATTTCGACAAAAGTATGATTAAGAAATGTTTTGTGCCTAATTGCAATCATAAAAACATCATTTAGCTGGGAATTTTGGGAACAAATCTGGCCCCTCACTGGGTAAACACAATATTATAGTAGTAGTTTTGCTTTGCAGAAATTCATTGGGAAATTGCTTGAAAAATAAATGATCCATCTCCTAGAAGAACATTCAGGGGGAGATGCAAGCAATATCTAGTCTAGGGAATAACATTGTTTCATACCAATTGATCATATTGTTGCATAGGTAAACATATCAATCAGTGACTGATTTAATGAGGATTCTCCATATGATGGGTATTCTTATGTTGAATATCCTTTCAGGTGAATAATTTTCCAATATAACTATAATAGGTACAAGCAATGAAAATTGAATGAATATTGTGCAACAAACCTTTCAGATTTTCTATTCCTCACTTCAGCACTGAGGAACTGTATATTAGACATCATTAACCATTTCCAAATAAATTTTTGAAAGATTATCTGAAGAGCCTTTCACAAATCTTGATTCAATGTTCATGTTTATATTCAATATATCAATATAATATAAAGCAAGATTTGGAGGTTAATTTCATTTCGTGTCTTCTCTTCTCATTTTAGACGACATAAATAACTTCGGAATCGGAATTCGAGACTCGATGCAAATGCAGCTCCATGTAAAAAGAGTCAACAAAGCAATGTTGCTGCGTTTATTAAATGTATTGGAATATTGTGAAATTGTAATGGTGCAAATGATTTTGAGATTGAGACATTACGTTGTCTAGAGATTGTTTATATTCCAATGATTCAACCTACAATCGACAACTTGAATATATTTTTCTGCAGTAGTGGTAGTGGATATCAAAAGATATTTCAATGACGATCTTGATCTCTTGGATATTTTGTTTGGATGATATGGCAACAGTGATAAGTGTCACACATCGGTCACGCTCATTGGTTCCAGGCAAGATGAGGTTTCTATGTCATAAGAGGGTCCGTTTTCAGAAGGTACTATTATTTATGTCCAAAAATAAAACATTCCAGTTAATTTTTCGATCGAATTATGTCGTCAATCATTATTCATTCATAAAAGGATCATTATGAACATGGTTTGAGTTGAAAGTTCTACTAAGGTGTACACGCCCATTATTATGTACCTTCTAAAGTTTTTAAAATGCTTGAAGTTTTGTATCTTGCTAATTTTTTCCATATATTTTTTACGTTTCATTCAACTAGTAGTATTAGAGAGGTTTGCAAATACTTGTAATCTGATTAATTGTTATATTCCAATGTAATTTCATGAAATTTTGTCTACTGAGTCCCAATTGGTTCCACATTTCTATGAAGTCTGACAGTTAATAGTTAATTGATAGTGGATTGAATTAATTTTATATGTAATTTAGCATGTTAAATAGTATTTAAAAAATGGGTTGCCTGAAAAAATCCTGGCAATGCAATAATTGATTAAAAATTGATTGAAAATTCGAATTCAAAAAGAAGAAAAAGGATTTTTGAATTTTAAATCAATAATAGCCTGGCCAGGATTTTTTCAGGCAACCCATTTTTTCAATAATATTCAACTTGCTAAATTACTTACAAACAAATTTTCATCCAATCAGATGGGTGAAGGTCGACCTTACTGCAGATCTTGGACTATAACCGTTGCTGTGCTTCTGAACCCCACAAAAAAGTAGACATTAATTCAGAAAGAATTTCACGGTTAGGCTACATAAATAAATAAGCCAAGTAATATACAACAATGGACAGAAAAACTCACCGTCTGCGACGTCTTCGGAGTTTGTTCGGCCACTCTGGCAGCACCCCTTCGAGGAGTCCTCACATCGGCCGTCCCACCCTCCTCCACCTTCTCACCCTTATCCTCCTCAACTTTCGCCCTCTTCCTCTCCGAAGCCTCCTCCCCACGCTTCCTCTTCCCCACACTTTCCTCGACCACTTTCGGTTTAGCGTCTGCTATAGCCGTTTTCGTCTTGGCGTCCGCAACGGTCGTTTTCGGCTTGGCGTCCGCGAAAGTCGTCTCGTTGAACTTGCTCGGCCGCGTCCGCTTCCTGCCCGACGACGTGATCTCCACCTCTTCGACGTTCCCGGAACTTTCCACCGGAACCACCACCGGAGTCTTGGCGGCTCTCGGGGTCTTCGGGGCGACCGAAATCCTTCGCTTTTTCCCTCTTTTCAACTTCACGCCCGGAGTCTCGATTATTATCTTCTCCTGCATCGGTACCACAATGTCCGCCGTTTCTTTTACGGGACTTTGGTCTTTTTCCTCGTCTGATTTGGGTTCTCGCCTGAAGGGGTTTATAGCGGAGGAAACTAGGGGCGTCCAGCGTAAACATTCGTAATCGATCGGGATGCGCGTTCTTGATTTAGAAACGCGCTCCGCATGGCTGTCAACTTTGGACCAATCCACGCAAATAACTGACTTTTCTCCCTCGTCTGTCGGCAGGTACTTGATGAAGCCGAGCAATTGCAAGGCTAAAGCGATGTCGTGGCAATACATGCCGGAGGATTTGCTGATGGCGGTTAAGTCGAGTTTTTCGTCGCGGTGGTCGTTGAGGTATTCGAGCACGACGGATTTCCAGTAGGCGTAGTAGGATACTTTGCCGAGGTCGGACAGGGGTTTTTCCGGGGTGCCGGGTTGGCCTTCTTCCTTGGACAGGAGGTAGCCTGGAACCGGTGAAAATGGGAATCATCAGCAATGTGGAATTCGAAACAATAGTTATTTATACACCAAGGTAGTAGAGAATATCAGTATTACCAAGGGACCAAAATTATATTCCGTTGTAATATCATTCTTTGATACCAAGGTATATATTACATTTTTTCACCACTAGTATTAAATTTCAATGACTATAGTTCTGTGAAACTGAAATATAGACCTTTTGTCACTATGAAAGCACTTATTTTCAATTCTAATTTAAATCTAGTAGCCATGACCATGACAGCATAATATGATATGATATGATTGGTATGCACTAGTTACATCATATCTCAAAGAAAGAAGACAAAGAGTTAAAATTGGCGAATGTTCTAGCAGTGATTCTGAAATTGGCCAGGGAGTACCTCAAGGATCTAATCTGGGCCCATTGTTTTTCTTGGTTTTGGCTAACGATCTTATAACATTCATTAGCAATAACACTTCGGCATTCGTTACCAGTTACGCAGATGACACTAATGTTTTGATAATAGAAAACGATATGGAAATGTTGAAGAACACCACAGCGGATATATATATATAGGAAAATAATTTTGTGGTCTGAAAAGAATCATTTGAAACCCAACAAAGGCAAAACAAATATCATATTATTTTCTACTCGTAATATGAACAACATTGACATATCTTCACGTGATAATGATGAAATGATAAGTCCATCTGAAACAGTAAATATGCTGGAAATTGTTCTGGATCAAAAATTATCTTGGCATCCTCATATCGACGCACTTGGTGCTATCACATTTTGATGTTGTATTATGTGAGTGTATATCCTCATTCTTCTCAAACTTATGTTCATTAGCTCAAATATAGATAACCAAGTTATCATAACTTAGTTATGGATAAATAGGCTAGGTGAAGTCATTCCTTGTGCTTTAGTGGACGAGATTATTACAGGTAGTTGATGGATGAACATTGATTTTTATGATTTTTTTGTGAGCAATGAAAGCCTTTTCAAAGTGTGCTGATGATCTCCAAAATATCAGTCCATATTGTAAAGTTGATTGTACCAGGCCAAAATACAACAGTCTTAGTTCGTCAAAGGATACTGTTTCTCTTGAATTTCTAATTTTATAGCAGCATGTACTTAGTTTAGAACAAACTTTGCACATATGTGGCTTCCATATCAATTTTGGATCAAGTTGAAGTCCATTTTGAGAACAATACTGATCAAAAGCTGCGTTACTATTTGTAACTAGTTGTTCAGTATCCTTATGGGACATCAAGATATTGGTATCGTCAGCATACAGTAAGTACCATTTGATCAGAAAGGTGACAACACCTTTTGATATCAGATGTAAATATATATAAAGAGTCATTATCAAATACCTACTAGATTGTGGCTATGTCTTCAATGACTAGTGGTTCATAAAATTACGAAAACTACCTTAGTAGTTAAAACACACTTTACGCCCTGAAAAGGAGTAAATAATGGTAATTTTTAGAACGAGTGGTGGAAAGAAGATCTTTTTAGTTATTTTGAGTTTACACAGAATTGGATTGGATTGAGGATGTAAATACAGTAAAATATTGAATAGAGCTTCTATGTGATGTGGAAAATATGATGGATATTAATGAAAAGGTGTGAGTATGGATAGAGTAGTAGAAATCAGCTACAAAGAATGAAAATGAAAAATAAGAAAATATTTAATTTATACAAAACATACCTAACATTGAAAGGTACAACAATGGGATAATGAACTGGTTTTGCATTTTTCACATTCAACAATCAGATTGTGTTGTTACATACCTCAAAAGACTTTTCCTATGACTACTACTGTAAGTGATCGAGCGATTGCACGGTTTTCATAGAGGTATTTTGATAAATGACTTTCTTTTGTGCTTAGCGATGACAATGAGATTATTTCCACACCACCAGAAATCCGTGAAGTCTTGTAAAAGATACAATATCGCTTACAAAAAATTACTCTGGAAAATAGCATGTCATTTTAGAAAAATATTCTGTTACTTTCAACAACTGCACAGTGACTATAAATATCCATTATAATAATTTCATGTTCATCAAATGTGTTTTTTGTTATTAAAAAAATTGTTAATCATGTTTTTCTGCGAAATATTTTTCTTCATTAAAATGGTAGATCCAAGATCAATTAATGAAAACATCCTGTAAATTATTTGTATACTAACATCATCACTCATCCATATGCCAACATCAGTAAATCACTGAGAAGTGTCAAACTATAAGAACGGAATGTTTGAAGAAAAATATTCTGCATTTTTATGTTGAGAACGGGAGCAGATTCGTTCTCAAAACTTCCAAAGATGAGTAAAAATTCGATATTTTTTCTTTAAACATGTTTTCAGTTTTCAAAAAAACTGTCACTGATGAGCTATTGAATGTCCTTATTTTTTTTTCCTTTTTTTTCACTGTTTTTTTTTTCCGCTTTGTTCACTATAATATGACTTTTATTTTGAGATATCTTAATGGTATGTAAGTTTGTCTGATCAATCATGTCATTCCTACTAGAAAATTAATTATACTTTATATATTATTTGTATGAAAGGTATCAATGAAAAAGCGAATGTAATGCAATTACTGAAATAAATAAAAAATAATTTTTCTTTTGGACTCGCCGATAGGAAAATTTGTTAAATGCAGTGACATTTTGGGGCAAATCATCTGATTTGTCCTACTACACATATATTGAAATAATACTCATATTTTCATTTCATGAAAACGAGGAGAGAAAATCCCAAATAATCGAGTTGATAAACAAATCAGTATAAATTAAAAAAAAAAACATGACAATCGAAAAAATCAGACACGTTAATTTGAACTCTGATTACAGCATGCACTTACTGAAATCGATGAGGAACCTGCCGTACCCCTGCCGCTGGTACTGCGGCATCGTCATGATGCACGACACGTTGTACTTCTGTACGCAGTGCTTCTCCTTGGAAAAGTACCCGATCAGGTGGCAGCCCTTCTTGTCGTTCACCGTCAGCACGTAGAACAGGAAGGGCTCGACGTCGTAATAAAGGGTCTTGTGGTCGAGGAATAGCTTTGCCAGCAGGCACAAGTTCTGACAGTAGATCTTGTTGACGTTGCCGTCGACTTCGAACACTGACAGCTCCTTGCAGCGGTAGATTTCGGTAGCGGGAGGATGTCGCCACGTGCACTTTTGAGAAAAGAAATGATTTTAATCTCTGGTAGAAATCTATGTTTGGTGGAGTGGAATTTTCAAAAGGAGGAAGGAAAGCTGAAAGTTATCTCGCACAACTTTAATAATGATGTTACCGCTAGTTGAATTCACATTCATCCCAGTGTTCAATTTACTTTAATTCTGTTCTATGCCACTCATCAGAATATCGTGTCATTAAGACTTTGATTTATGTCAAGGTTCATTGAATTAATTTCATGTTTCTAACCTCAAGTTGAATTCAATACGTTTTTGGTTATTGGTCCCATCAATTCTAAATTTTAAATTGATTTTTGGATTTTAAGTGCGCTCTCTCAAGGGTACGGGACCCTTTAGTTTTTCCTGTCTTACAAAAAATGGTTTTTACGAGCACCTTGAGTGCTCGTCATGTTTCCATCTGGGACTTCACTTTTTATTTCATAAGTGCGCGTTCTTAGGGCACGGGACCCTTCATTTTTAATGGAGACCCGTTTATCCTCAAACAAAAACTTATTCATTATCAATCACGATATAATGATGACAGACATCGGCATCCATTTTCAACACATATAATGTTCACCTCAATGTAAGTCAATTTTTCTAAATTACGGCTGAAGATGGACTTTTATAAGTCCGAAACATTTGATTGACTACATCATTATCGAATTTGATTTGCAGCTTCTTCTTGGGGTTTGGATTCGGTTTCATAAAGAATTTCAAAGGATTAAGTAGAAAAACGTTTCGCCCATGGCCATGGGCTTTGTCAATTTATTAATATTTAGTGAATCTGTAAATAATGGTTTTCATTGAAAATGGTTTACATTGTGGAATGATAGTGATGAGAACTAATTTAAAAAAAGAGAGATACGTACCTCAACCAATTTAAAATTCCGGTGATTTATTACAGTTGTAGTGTTCTTGCGGACATTTTCATTCAAAAATAGTATTTCTTTTCATTTTCCATTTCTTAATCTCTCTTTTTTTTATTTAGTTCTCATCACTATCATTCCACAATGTAAACCATTCTCAATGAAAACCATCATTTACAGATCTTAATATCAATGAATTGACAAAGCCCATGGCCATGGGCGAAACGTTTTTCTACTTAATCCTTTGAAATTCTTTATGAAACCAAACCCCAAGAAGAAGCTGCAAATCAAAAACATAACAGGATTCAAGAAAATCCCTCAACAAAAACAATCATTATTGAAGTTGTGCAGATGACTTTGAGCTTTCCTTCCTCCTTTTAAAAATGATTTTATTCGGTATCAGCATTAACAGAAACGACATAAAAGTGCATTGCCTAGGTTCAAATAGTACCCTATGACTTTTCAAGAAGCAAAGTCGCCACGTAAACTTTTGAGGAACGAGATTTTATTCAGTATGAACATCAACAGAAACGACAAGAAAGTTTCATTGCCAAGGTTTGAGTTGTATCCTGTTACTCTTTGAGAGCTGTGATACATAAAAAGAGCGATAATTCTAGTGGAGCAACGAAGTGGTACTGTAGCCTGAATAATGCTAGAAATTTACCGAAAAAAAACTAGTTCCGAATATTTCGAAAGTTCAATAGAATCCGAAATGACGTTTAATAGAAATGTAACAAATTCTGGCAGTAGATCAGATGGCAGCCCTTCCTGTCATTCACCATCAGCACGTAGAACAGGAAGGGCTCGACGTCGTAATAAAGGGTCTTGTGGTCAAGGAACAGCTTGGCCAGCAGGCACAAGTTCTGACAGTAGATCTTGTTGACGTTGCCGTCGACTTCGAACACTGACAGCTCCTTGCAGCGGTAGATTTCGGTAGCGGGAGGATGTCGCCACGTGCACTTTTGAGAAAAGTAATGATTTTATTCAGTATCAGCATTCACAGAAACGATAGAAAGTTGCATTGCTGAGGTTCAAGTTGTATCCTGAGACTCTTTAAGAGCTGTGATATATGAAAAGAGCGATGGTTCTAGCGAAGCAGAGTCACCATGTACACTTTTGAGGAAAAATATGATTTTATTTAGTGAAAACATCAACAAAACTGACAGAAAGTTTCATTGCTGAGGTTCAAGTTGTATCCTGCGGCTCTTCAAGAGCTGTAATACATAAAAAGAGCGACGATTCTTGTGGAGCAGTCACCACGTGCACTTTTGAGGAAGATGATTTTATTCAGTATAAACATCAACAGAAACGACAGAAAGTTTGCATTGCTGGGGTTTAAATAGTTTCCGTGACTTTTTCAGAGCTGAACGATGATTCTACAGCCTGAATAATGTTAGAACTTGACCGAAAACAAAAAGCACTAGTTCCGATTATTTCAAAAGTTTAATAGAATCCGAAATGACGACTAATAGAAATGTAACAATCTCTGGCAGTACATCAGGTGACAGCCCTTCCTGTCGTTCACCGTCAGCACGTAGAACAGAAAGGGCTGGACGTCGTAATAAAGGGTCTTGTGGTCGAGGAACAGCTTGGCCAGCAGGCACAAGTTCTGACAGTAGATCTTGTTGCCGTCGACCTCGAACACCTACAGCTCCTTGCAACGGTAGATTTCGTGCATTTTTAGGAAATGATTTTATTCAATATCAACAGAAACGGCTCAAATAGAACCCTATGAAATTTTAAGCGCTATGATACATAAATAAATCGATGATTCTAGCAGAGCATACTCACTACGTGTACTTTTGAAGAATATGATTTTATTCATTATCAACATCAACAATAGTGCTAGAACGTACTGGATTTTAAGAAACCGGCTAGTTTGTATCGAAAATGACGAAATCATATTTTTTGGAACGATGACGTATTATGACAACAGAACGAATGAAATATCATCATTCCAGCAGTTCTAGTGCCATAGAATTGACAGGATAGCATCTTTTGGCAGTTGAAATATGTTTACTGTCTTATAAATGAGTAAGTACAGGAATATTCAAAAGATACTCATAACTACAAAAGTAAACGGCCAATGAATTATTAAAATAATAATACCTTGTCTTGGTGCCTCTCTAGTACAGCCTTGCTCTTCGTATATTTGAGGCAAAACTCGCAGAGGAACAATTTCGGCAATCGCGCGTACTCCTGCGGGAAGGGGCTCGAATACCAGGTCTGGATCTCGTATTTTCCGAATTCTATAGCGGCAGGGCACCTGTTGCCAGAAATGAAAAGAAAAGTTAATGATGTAACTTACCGCCTCGACGGCTTTTTTAGAATATTTGGAACAAACTTCTCTTTGTAGATATACTTTCGAGGCATAGTTATTAACAGAATAGTATGCTTTGAAGTTATTATATCAAATAAGATACTAAAACATTGGAATCCTATCATACAACAAATAATAATCTGTATTGCCAGGGTAGCAATCGGGTGGGACCAATTCCCACCCCCCTCTCACAAGACTCCCATAGGGATGACTGTCGGTCACCAATCTTTCGACTTATACCGACAGCACCCCAGGGAGAAATGGAGGATTTGGATACGCCAAATCAGGGCGCTAGAGCCATCTCCGTTATGTAACGGCATGTTCTCCTGCTACCATTTTATTATACCAATGGTGAGGCTGTCTGATAAGACAGACTACTGGCTCTGCAGTGTCAGTGCCCGAGTAGAAACGCTGCTCACCCGCCGAAGCAGGCAAGATATCCTCCCACTTGACTCAAAGTGGGATTCTTCCTCACCTCCTCTACCGTAGTCCGGTGTTTTTGGAAACCGCTGCCCCCTGGAGGCCAACCCAATTGGTGAGGCACCAGGCCGTATGTACAACCTGATGGGGCTATCCTCATCACCCCAGGTACCCATGTCAATAAGATTCCTCTTGTTACGTTTGATGGGTTGCCGTCGCAAGATGCTTTGGCCTATTGCTACTCATGTTGACAATAATCCTCTTGTCCCGTTGAATGAGTGATCGTTCGAGGACTTTCACGTTTCTCTACCTCGTTTACAGGAGAGGACCCGGCTTTGCCTACGATGACTGGCGGTAGGATCGCTTGGGGCGCCCTCTCCCTGACGAACTAAGGCACAAGGTACACCAGAGTTCCAGTTTTCGCTGAGCAAGCCCAGCTACCCATGTCGATCGGAATCCTCCAGTCCCGTTTGATGGGTGTCCGTTCGCGGCCTTTCCCACGTAGCTACCATGACGAGAGTGGGGACCTCAAGCTTTTTACCAGTGGTGCCTGGAATCATCTGAGGCTACCCCCACCCCGGCGCCGTGAGTACATGGTGGGCCACGGCTAGCTTATCATACAACAGCCAGAAAACCATGATTGAGAACAAAAATGATAAATTACATTTCTCACGATTGTTGCTAGTGTACTACAAAACTTTGCGGTGCCGCCACGTTAATTTTTGAATAATTCATATTTTTTATTCTGATTTGTATCTTACAATAACTAATAAGTTGGTAATTATTAGCAGTAAATTTCTGACACTGATTTTGTTGTTACGCATGTTTATTATGTTATGAAAGTTGTTCAATTTTTTGTCATAAGATATTTTTGCCGAGTTGAAGAAGGTGTTTCACCAGAAAAATCTCATTGAATTGTCGATTAGAATAGATTACATTTATTGCTTCAAAAGTATACATTTCATAGCGCGGGTTCGAATGTACAGGTGCAAACATAAGTAACATATACCGGGTGGTCCATTCAAGACTTTCCACCCCCTATATCTCCCAGAATTATTATTTTCCAAAAAAATGACGAAACAGGTCGATTTTCATATGGAGGGGGACACCTTTTGACGCAAAATAAATAATCCATACTTCAACCCTCTACTCCCCAGAGCAAACCCCTCAATAATTTGATTAGGGAATATGGGTCGTGTTGTGCATCATTGCGAAGGTAATTCAATTCTGAAACTAGCAGTGGAAAGTTTTTTGAATTCCAACAAGTCGTTCTGGAGATATTCGAGTTCAAATGGTATATTTTCCAATTGCGAGTGATTGAATGTACGGAATGAATTATTGAATTGAATGTTCAAATTTACCTTTTCATTAACTTCCAGACAATGGTAGAATCTATTTATAAATTCCTTTCGCACATTTGAAATATTTCTCTAGTTATTGCCTGGTATTCAACCCTCATTCTTCTCTACTTATCGTCCAGATCATAGTAGATTCCGTTTTATAAATAACGGATTTCGGAAGACCCCAAAGAAAAAAATCATTGGGTGCCATGTCCGGCGAGCGTGCTGGCCATTTTAATGGTCCTTCACGACCTATCTATTTGTTTTGGGAAATTCTGGGGGTAGCCATTCTCTCACCTGTGATACGGAACACATCATTTTGTTGAATATCATCTGCCAATAGATTTTGATTACCATCATCATAGGGCCGTAGAGGAGCAATAGAATGGACAGCACGTCTGCCGGACTTGGCACCCAATGATTTTTTCCTATAGGGTCATTTAAAATGGGTAATTTATAAAACGGAACCTATACTAACCTCGATGATTTGGAGAGAAGAATGAAAACTGAATGCCAGGCAATATCAAGAGAAACATTCTCAAACGTACAAGAGGAATTTTCAAATAGACCTTACCACTGTCTAGGAGTGAATGGAGGTCATTTTGAACATCTTTTGTGAATACCTGTTCAATAAAGTATTATTTACATTCATTTACTCACAATTGAAAAACATACCATTCGAACTCAAATATCTCGAGAACGGCTTGTTGGAATTGAAAAAACCTTCCACTGCTAGTTTCAGAATTGAATTACCTCGCATTGATGTATAACACTGCCCTTATTCCCTATTCAAATTATTGAGGGGATGCTCTGGGGTGTAGAGGGTTGAAGTATGGATTATTTTTTTCGCGTCAAAAGGTGTCCCCCTCCATATGAAAATCGACCTGTTTCGTCTTTTTTTTGTGAAATAATAATTCTGGGAGATATCGAGGGTGGGTAGTGTTGAATGGACCACCCGGTATAAATATTGAACATAGCTGAAATAAAAGAGAAAGTTATAGGCAAATACAAAAAATACAGATAAAAATAATCATCATCAAGTAGAGAAAAATCATAGTGTATAATGAGAGAAAACTCATTCATTTATCACGAAAGAACGGAGTCTCAAGATGTTCCAGATATAGTTGGAAATGACCTTGGCAGATTTTGCGGAGATATTATCAAAAGCATAGACGAGATTATCAAGATTGGATAGATAGTCGGGATCTTGGGGTTTCATTGCACAGTAAATTGGAACTCAAACAATATATGTTCTATAGTTTCCAGTTCTTTCATGTTACATATATTGAATAAATTTCCCGCGGATTTATTCTATATGCTGAGCCGTTCAGTGAGAATTTAATAATATATTGATTACAAAGACGGAGTTGATCTGGTTATTCTAAGAAAGCAATGAAGAGAAAGAAACACTGCACGGCTTGAAAGGGGAACATCTTCTTGAAATAGCTTTTCCTGAAATTTGATCATTATCATTCTTTTTTCTCTTGGCTAGTTATGGAGCCACGTTCAATTTGAGACAAAATTTCATGTAAGTTTAGAGGGATGGAGAGACTTTTCAGTTGCAATGACCAGATAAACCTTTCATAACAGTTATCAAGAGTGAACTGTCTTTTGAGACAAATCTTAGGTAATCGGGTTTCATCCATGCTGAATATTTTGGTTATCCAATTCAGACATAGCTTAAGAACACCGTAAATCAATTTGACTCTCCCAGTTTCTAGTCTGACAACATAGTCAGGTGATGTAAATTCTTTAAAGAAAAACCATTTGAACACGCTCCAACATTTCAGCGTATCTAAGACCCCAGACGGCAACACAACTGAACATGATGCTCACTACTACATATCAAAAAGTTTCATTTTGCATTTCCAAGAGTCTGTTTTGCTCTTAGTCTATTTTGCTCTTGGAGATAACAGGAAGTATTGCACCTATTTCCTGTTTACCTTTTACCACCGATCTAATCGTCATTTCTCTAAAGAGAGTGGAAGATACAAATGTGACGTCAAGGTAGGAGTACTTGGAAGTAATCGCGACATTTTTTTTTACCGAATATGTCATTGAATTGTCGATTTGGCATCGGTTCCACAGAGGTCCTCAGAATATAGTGGCTCACGCATCAAGGACCGATGAGAGTGGCATAATTTAGAGGTTTAGTAGTTTCAATATATTATAATATTCACTTAATTGAATATTAAATCGTTTTTCTTCGTCACAGAAAAGAATAGTGTATTATTATTTAGACTAATATTCATCAACTAATAACTGTGAGCTCGTACCTCTTTTGGGCGATCATCGCTTGCGAGGGCGACCCCAGCACCGCCCCGATCCCGCCTTCGGAAGGAACAGCAGGGGCGGGAGCAGGGACGGGTGTTGCGGGGGCAGCCGGCTCGGGGGCGGCAAGCAGCAGCGCCGCCGTGGCCGCCGCCGCCCGCTCCCTCGTCTCCCTGAACGTTTCGACGTCCTTTTGGGTGACGCCTGGTGGCAGCGTCTGCAGCTTCGGCTCGACTGGAACAGAAAAAACAAAGAAACGTTCTCGATTAAAGAGTCTCTCCGTCTTACAATATTCAGCAACGAAAATACCCGAACAACACCCGAAACAACCGTCATTTACGCCTACCCAGGCAACCAGATGACGTTCCAGTGACGTCTTTTTACGTCAGTTGAATGACCAAGGTGATGTCAGGAGTTGACGTCGGATGACGAGATAAATGACGTGAATAAGTCACAGCCCAATGACGTTTATTGACGTCATTCACTCACCAAACTATAACGTCGGACTGACGTCGAAATGACGGTCAAATTTGGTGATGCCACGTAAAAAAGTTTTCTCGAACATGGTGTGATAATCACCACTGACCTCTGATGACATATAATATTGATGATGCATTGTTGAGTCTGCTTGGTGGTCCCTCCGGTGTCGTGTCCATTCAATCGTCTATTCAGCAGCGCTATCCCTCAGTACGCAACTCCATCAGAATGAAATCAGTTACTCGTATTTGTATAAAAAATTATGTAGTTTGTGTCGGCGAGATGTAAGCAAACCAAGAAAAGTTTGATAGCAATGAAAAGGATGTTGGCGAATTCAGCTTCACTTTAATGAGTAACGTATATATTCATGAATTATTTGTCACCCAACAAAAATCTAAATATGAAATTATTGAAACATTTTCTGAATGACGAATCTCACCAAATTGTTACGTCACACGTCATAGATACGTCACTGCAACGTCATAAGAGTGACGTTTCAATATAGGTACACCTATATTATCATTTGTATACAGGGTGTTTCATAATTCAATGCTGATCCTAAAGGGCGATGATCCTTGGATGATTTTAAGGAGAGAAGTTCATATCAACATATGTCCTGAACCTCTTAGTTTTTGAGCTACAGGGTGTTGAAATCAGAAGCGTACAGCGTTTTTTTAAACAAAACATTCAATATCAGGTCTACGAGGACATCACTGGTAAAAGTAAAAGTTTGATTTTTGTCCCAAAACGAAATGTGTTTCCACTTATAGTGGGTGTCTACTGAATTACCAAAAACAATATCCAAGAACTGAAGGAACAAAATTCTTTGGTTTTTATTTTTTTACGCGAAAACGGTACGTTGTATGAAAGTAAGTCTAGGAACCAAATTTGCTCCAAAATGAATAAGAATTGAAAAAAAAATCTGGTTCTCAGAAAAATCAGTGGCGTACTATTTTTTTCTCCAAAAATTGACAGTTCAAACCCCGTACGGACGCCACTGGTGAGAATTTTTGAAATATCTTTCACGTTAAAAAATGCTCCTCAATAATGAAAAGGTGTATACAAAATATCATAACAATATCTAAGAGTGATAAAAAATTATGATGAAAAACTCATTTTTTTCTTGAAATTTCATCACCCTGTAGCTCAATAACTAAGAGGTTTAGGACATATGTTGATATGAACTTTTCTCTTTGAAATCATCCAAGAATTATCGCCCTTAAGAATCAGCATTCAATTATGAAACACCCTGTATATACAAATATAGCTTGATTGATTTCCGAGATATACAGAGTGTCAAAATTAAAAAAGTTTTCTCTTACCTTTTGGGTACATATAATTCCAATAAAACTTGCATGTTGATTTGTTTTAATGAGTTATACTTCTATCGACGTTAGAAGCATACATATAAAATTAGTATGATGCATATGTATGGAATAAATTCATTTCAAAACAAGACGACTTCCGAAAAAAATCCAAAAAGTAGAGTTCACAACTTTTTTATCGATGTATTTTTTCAACTAGACGACCCTTCGATGTTCAATTCTCAGTAGGAGATCTCTGCAAGATTCAGTTAACCACATGATAATCCATTTTAATTTCAATCTTCTTTTGCAAAATTTTGACTATTGGATAGACGATCAGTAGACCTTTCAAACGAGGTGTCACATGACCCCTGATTGTATTTAAAAAACCGTCCATTACGTCATTACTCCAACACCGGTGACGTAACATCTCTCATATGAATGTCATGAGATGAGGTTTCAAAAATTAAAACTCACGTGTTTTTGGAATTTCTTCAAATGTCACCCATTTCTGAAATAATGAATTTATTCCATACATTTGCATCATACTGTATATGTATGTGTGTAAAATTGATGAAAAAACGATTTTTTCTGAAAACTTTTCGACACTGAAAATGCCCATCCTGTATATATAGGTACGTCACAAACCTAACGGTTTCTCATAATAATGTAAGTATGCCGAGTTAGGTTTGGTTGTTTAGAAAAAATATTCTCCTTTCTAGTGCCAAAAGTATATTTTTCAGAAAATATACTTTCTAAGCAAAGGTTCATTCATGCCAAGTAAGGTCAGATTGTTTAGAAAAAGTAGTTTCCTTTCTTATGCAAAATGGATATTCTCTCTTCTTATATAACGTTATTACACTTCTACACTGCTTCGGGTATTTTCGTTCGTGAATATTGTAACACCGGAAGACGTTTGTTTCTCAGACGTGAAATTGTGAAGATTCTCCTCTCGATCAGGAACGAGAAAACCCAAAGCGGTGTAGACAGCAGCGACAAGACACAAGCTATAGGTGACTCTCTGAATTTCGAAGACATGTAATAACGTAACATGAGAAAATAATACTTATATTCTTTCTACATAAGGAGACTATTCTTTCTGAACAATCTAACACAACTCAGCCTGAATTGAACTTCTTCCTTGACAGTATATTTCTCAGAAAATTAATCTAGATAAAAGAAGAGGCTACTTTTCCTAATCAATCTAACCTAACTCGGCATGCATGAACCTTTCTAATGAATATATTTTTCGGAAAATTAGTTGAGAGAACAAGGGAGACCCTTTATACACAAATCAAGTTAACTCTGCCTAAATTAACCTTATACCTAGAAAGTATCTATTTCGGAAAATTACTAGACAACAAAATGGAAAAAATTTGACCTTCGCAAGGATTGGACCCAGGCGGACTGTACCATTTGCTCACTTGAAAGTTATTTCTTTGAAGAGACAATTGCCTCTCGCAGATATCGCGTGTTATCAGTGACGTCATGTACGCGCGAGAATTCAGGAAGCCACCAATGGAAATGGCTTGTTCAGAGTGAGGGTACTAGTGATGTTCGGGTATTCTCGTTCCTAAACACTGCAAGACGGCGGGACTGTGAAATTGTGTGGCAGCTATTTAGAACTACCGCTTTACAATGATTCCAAAAGTTTTTGAATTCGCATGTGAGGTATGGAAACAAATTAATATTCTGCAATATTTTCGGTATGTTACAGAGGCATGTCTTCCATGGCTAAAAAAGCACAGCTTTTCTTGCCCATTGAGGAAAAATATAGATTTCGAGTGAAAAATGTGTTCATAGGAATTAGAAAAAATGACACCACCAAGTTCATACTGAAGAAACAATTATAATTCATTTTATGGATTTTCTCATGATGCTTTATTATTGATAAAATCTTATTTCAGTAATAGAAAGCAAAAAATATTATCCAACGGTAATCAGTCTGGATACGTTAATATCACAACAGGGGTTCCCCAAGGTAGCATTCTTGGACCACTATTGTTTATAATTTATACAGCTGATATTTTGAAATCTATAAATAAATGCAGTGTATGTGCATACGCAGATGATACACAAATTGTCATTAAATTCCCTGTTGATAAGTTAGAGCAAGCGCAACTTGATCTCAATTACGATCTCAACGTTATCTCCTCTAAAAGTTCATCACATAATCTGAAACTGAACTCTACAAAATCGAAGTTACTAATTTTTTCACCTCGCAATCAGTACGAATATATTAAATCTAATCTTTTAGTTAGCATCAATGGAACTCAGATAAACGTTGAACACTCTGTGAGAAATTTAGGATTGGTGTTGGACGATGATCTTAGTTTCAAATGCCATATAAATAATTTACTTAAAAGGAGTTTTACATCGTTGAAAGTTTTATATTCCAACAGATATATACTGAACCCAAAGTTACGTAAACAATTATGTGAGAGTCTAGTTTTATCCCAGTTTACGTACTGTGACTTTCTTTATGGACCTTTTCTGGATGCAGCGTTCAGAAACAAGATACAGAAAGTACAAAACTATTGTATCCGATTCATTTTTGGTCTCAGAAAATATGATCATGTTAGTCAAAAATTAAAGGAGCTCAATTGGCTAAATATGGAAAGTCGTAGAAAGTTACACTTGGCAACTTACTTACAGAAAGTCATGCAAACAGGTCCGGTGGACATAAAAAGTAATCTAGTTCCACGGTCTCAAGTTCATTCCGTGAATATAAGAAAAAAGACAACCATAACCATTCCACATCATTCGAAAACTCTCTTTCAGAAAGGATTCACTTACAATGCTATAAAATTGATCAATTCATTACCTGACAATATGATGAACCTTAGTAAGTCTGCTTTCAAGCATCGTTTCAAGCAGAATCTCTTATCGGACCTACCGATCTAATAAATTATTCTGATGTGAATGGTATGATTCAAAGATGTAAGTCTGTAATAATTTAGTAAATTCATGTAATGTAACCATGTCATTATCACATAATCTTTTCTTACATGCTATCTTATATTATTCAGATCATTATGGGGTTAGATGTAAGAGTAGCCTAGCTAAATTTCGCCCCTTAATGATCATAACAATTGTATTTGTTTTCATCATACTTTTATAAATAAAGTCGATTTATTATTATTATTATTATTATTTCTAATCAACTTCCAATGTGAGCGACTCGATTTAGTTGCTCCTTTTTATTCCGTACATACTTCTGTGATGTGATAACGAATTGAAAGAAGAAGCAAATGCGAATATCCAAAACGTGCCGCGATTCAAACTGATCTAAGTGATATTTCGCCTTCGTCGAAAGATAGTATCCGATGGACCAGTGTCCAATGTTAGATGGACCAGTGTCCAATGTTAGATGGACCAGTGTCCAATGTCTGATGGATGGTGCTCACACTACAAGTATTCTAATCCACATGTTGGGTTTTACACTGCTCTATC